AGCTGTTGAATTGACTTTTCCTGGATCCTTGTTGATTTTATGAGATCCTTTCTTTCATGGTCACTAGCTGCCATGCTGTCTTCAAAGTCTTAGATTTTATCTTCAGCTTCATTCAAGCGGTTTTGGTAGCTTTCAATGGCAGCTTTGTTTTCCTGGAAGTCTCTTTGAATTTGCTTCATGCTTTGTAAGTCCTTTCTATATTTTTCATTGAACTTTTGACCCTTGCCTTTGTTCTTCTATTTTCTTATGTGTCTTTTCTTCAGATTTTTTGAGCAGATCTTTCATTATTATTGTCATTTCATTTTTTGCCTTAGAGATTATTTCTGATCTCATCTCTTCTATGGCCTTATGGAGTTGTTTCTTTACTTCCATTGCAATCATTTCAGCTATTTCAGGCATGTGTTTACCAAATTCTCTTAAGTTGATGTCTCCTGGACTTGTTCTGATTGGGGTGGAGTTCAGGGATTGTGTTTTAGTCCTTCATTTTGTCATGTTTGCTACCAGATGCAGAAAGCTCAGTTTCCCTCTTCAGTAGCTATACAGCAAAGGCCACTAGTGTCCCTAGTTTTCACATTGGTCAGGTTTGCCCAAGTGACCTCTGAGAGGTGCTACTTAGTCTTGGGTTTTCGGGCAGTTTTTGTACCTGGAATCTAATTCAGAATCTTTTTTTTTTTTTTTCCCTTGGTTTTTTGGTTTTTCTCCAGTACTGGGAACCCAACTCATGACCTTGCGCTTGCCAGGCAGGCGCTTTTGCTGCTGAGCTAAATCCCAAGCCCCAGTTTTTGATTTGTATCTAGTTATCCCGGTTCTCAGACACGGGCATTGGTGTCATCTGATGGCTGACCATGTGATCCAGCATCCCGTTGCAGTTCAGGGCACATGCACGGCCTAGACTCAGGTTGCACTGGTGTGACAATCCCGGTCCAGTGGACCTATGTCCCCAGCAGTTCAGGGTACAGGCAAAATCCTGACACAAACTGCAAGGTCGACAGTTTGTGAACCACCTGATTCTGTGTCTCCAGTCAGTTCAGGACATATACAGCAACCAGATGCAGGCCGGATGGGTAGCAGTCACAGACTGCCCATGCCTTCAACCCTCTAGAGGGTCCCGGTGAAAGGAGAGCATGGACTTTAACTGCTGGACCAGCAGCTCTTGGAGCACTCGCTCACTTGGTGCAGGGCATGCGCAGGGAGGGGCTACGTAGGCCTGGGTCACCCGCTCTGCCCTCAAGAAGTAGATGGGAAATACCTGGCTCTCTGTGCGATTTTCAGCTGGGAACCGTGGCAGTGTGAGCAAAGCATGGACTCGAACTGTGGGTCCAGCAGCCCCCGAAGCACTCGCTCACCATAAGTCAATATTTCTTAACAAGCGTTATAATTATATTTTGGACAGGATACTTTTTTATGCAAAAAATGTTCTGTACATTTCAGGACACTTAGCATTGCTAGACCAACCCAGTAGATGTTGGTATTACCTTCCTATGACAGCATCTTTCCACATTTCCACACACTCGTGGCTCTGATGAGAACCCCTGGTCTAAGGTAAGGGTAGATATCATGGTATTTTTAAGCTAATAGTGATATTCACTGTACTTGTAGGCAGTGTGGAGTAATTCTGGCTAGAACCAGGAAAATAGCCCAGGGCTTCCAAGAGAAAATTTCACCCCAAAGAAAGTAAGAGCAAGGCTCAGAGAGAAAGTATTTTTCCCCACTCTCCCATCCTGTCTCAGGCTGAGAGAAGCTGGGATGCTTGCTCGTGTAGAAGCACACGTGTAACCCTGAGGCAGTAAGTTGGGTAACTAAAGCAGCTGCTGGAAGCGCTGAGTCAAGGGTGGAAAGTCCCTGGCTTCTGGGTGAGGCTGTTGGACTTCCAAACTTGCCCAGGAATTGTGAGTTTTTGGGCTTTTTATTAAGTAAGACAGAAAATGTTCTTATATTTAAAACCGCAGTCCATCATGATTTCTGTTACTCATAGCCAAACACATCCTAATGATTCATAAGTTAAAGAAAATAGAAAAAAAGCAGCAACAAAGCTAAGATCCACCTCTTAAAGTTCCTTTGATATTTTGTGTTATTGTTGTTTTTAGATTATCATATGATGTTCAGCTCTATCACTATTTAGTAGTATGATAAAGCATTTTAAAAACCACTATTCACCCCTCAAAAAAACCCCAATTTTGTGTAAAACTTAGCTACATTAAAACCCTAAGAATCTTGGAGAATCTTATTTTCAAAACTTTTCAAAATACCATCCTATTTGCCTCCAAAGCTTGCTAATTACATTTAACCATATGGATACAACACAGGGAAAGCTTATTTGACTGAACATGCAGTGAAATCAATCTGTCTGTCTGTATCTATCTGTCTCTGTCTGTCTTTGTCTGTCTGTATGTCTCATTTTATGAGACAGGTTCTCCCTATGTAGTCCAGGCTAGCTCAGGTTGGCCTCAAACTCACAATCCTCCGATCTCAGTGTTCTGAATGCTGGCATTACAGGTATGTACTACCAGTTAGGCATCCCTTTTAATTTTTGAAAAGCACAGTTCCCTTTCCCTTACAAATTAAAAACTCCCAAGCTCAGGAGACAATAAGTACATCTGAAACATATGTACCTATTAGCAAATTGTACACTTGACAAATTGTAAATCTATATACTTCTAACAGAGAAGAGTACTAGACTTTGGGCAATTGTTCTACTGTTGACCATGCTGACCACCTGTTACAGACATGTTAGGAATTTTGGCCCGAGAAAACAATACCCCAAAGAGGGGCTCTGGGACATACAAGGTAGAGAGTCTCAGAACAAAGGTCTCACTGACCTTCCTTTACCTTCTGTCTCTGACCCTCTTTCTCTCCTAAAGCATAGGGCAAGGTTTCCTGAAGTCCCTCTATGTATCTAGAGACCAGATCCACCAAAGAGGAACACAATTGTCTTTAATCTTCTTACTGAAATTTTATTAAGAAAAACTAGAGGCATATTACAGAGGAGGAGACTAAAGACCAGACACAACTCCTAGAGCCTGGAGGAACTTTGTCCCAAGCTATTGTGTATCTTCAGGGTGCATTTGTTTCTTCTAGAAATCATTTGCCACCCTTCTAAAATTATTAAGTGGCCCCACTTCCCTCTCCCCTATGAAAAAGAGAAGTTCAACTACAGAGCCAGGTATTGGTTTGGGGGTTATTTTTGCAAGGGGAACAATACAATACAGGACACATATTTTATAAGATCATTTATAATAGTCACCCAAAGAATGATATACCTAAGAGCATGCAGGAAATCTGTCCACACACTATAGACCAGGAATCCAGCTAAGGGCCTGGATCTTGAAATATTGTCCTACATGAGTCCACCTGAATACAGCCCATAATGATGCTTCCCATGAATCCAGCTGGAGGCCCCATAACAGTATCTCACATAAGTCTGTTTCACGGATCTGCACTGGGAAGGCCCAAAGGTCAGTGGTGGAATTTAGAAAGTCTATGCCAGTAGGATGAAGGATCTGTGCAAGCAGGCTGAGGGATCTGCACTGGAGCCAGGAAGTGAAGCTCAGAAGAACCAGAGCTCCCCCGAAAGGTATCATAGCCATCTTCGGCAATAGTGAGGTCCCGAGCTCCACCTCTGATGATCAAGATGGCCAAGTTCCCATCAGGGAAGCTAACACAGCAAACTTTTCCAGGAGGCCGGCAGTGCACCATATTCCACTCCAGAGCCAGGAAACAATGCTCAAAGAGAGGACCAGAGCACCCCACAAAGTGAAACGAAGCCATTCTCGGTGCCAGCGAGGTCCCAAGCTCCTTGGAGGATGAAAACTGCCAAGTTCATCAGGAAAGCCAGCATGACGAGCTCCTCCAAAACAACTAAGAGCTCCCCACAGCTTCTCTCAGCTCCCAACAGCCTCTCTCAGCTCCCAACAGTCTGCCTCTTATGCTGCTGGCAACAGTCCTCAGGTGGGCCTCCCACACCCAGCACCACACTTACTCAGTTTAGCTGCGGGTTATAAGTTGACCACCAGTTATCAACCCACTACAAGCCCTGTCTTTGAGTTTTATATTTTGTGTAACCCCCATACTTCTTCTTCTTTTTTTTTTTTTTTTTTGTCTTTTTGAGACAGGATCTCGTTATGCAGTTCAGGCTGGCCTTGAGCTCACTTTGTAGCCCAGGCTGGTCTTGAACTCGCAACGGTTCTCCTACCTCAGCATCCCTAATGCTGCGATTACAGGCAAGCACCACATGCCAGTGTATGACTCCCATACTTATGCACAGTAATAAATATATAATGGTGGCTAGGGGTGTAACTCAGTGGTAGAGTTCATGCTTAGCATGCATAAGGTCCTGGGTTTCATTCACAGTTCAAAAGAGAATAAAGTAAATGAGGCATGCTTCTCTTTTGTTTATCCATCTTTTGTTGTAGGGCTATTTGCCATGACTCTTTATCATAGGCAGGAAGCAGATTATCCCTTTTTCACCTCCACAGAAAGATATTAGGTTTATTTCCCTTGTCCTTTTATATCTTTATTAATTTTCTCTTTTTCCCCCCTCCATTCTACTCTTCTGTGCCCCTGTGCTATCAATCACAACCAAATCTTCATCTCTTCTCATGGACAAATGCAGTGACTTCCTAAGTGATCTTCTATCCTTGTTTTTCATCAACCCCACATTCTCCAGCATAGCTCTTTCTAAATACAAATCTGGAGAGTCCCACTCCAGGGAAAATGGAGTAGGCAATATTTTTTGCATGTTGCTGTCACTAAGTACAACTGAAAATCTTGCGCATAAGAAAACTGAAATGGAGAGAAGGAGGCAAAGTGGCTAAGTACCTCAGGATCCGAGGACTGGCATCTGAGTGGGCTCCTTGGGTTTCTCTTTAAAAAATTTTTTTTCAGTACCGGGGATTTTTTGTGTGTGTGGTACCAGGAATTGAACTCACGACCTCGTGCTTGCCAGGCAGGTGCTGTGCCACTGAGCTAAATCCCCAGCCCCAGTACTGGGGATTAAACCTAGGGCCTATGCACTGAGCTATGCCCACAGATAATTTTATATTTTAATTCAAGGCAAGGGGCTAATTCACTAAGTTAGCTAGGCTGTGCTCGAACTTGTGACCCTTCTGCCTCAGCTTCCCATAGTACTGGGATCCCAGGTGTGCACCACCACCTCTGGCCCTGGGTTTTCTTTTAGCTTCAGTGTCCAGAAGCTGGCCAATTGGAAAAATCAACAAGCACAGATTAAAAACAATACAAAATCCCCTAAAAAAGAAAAGCTGTTCTCCACCAAAGGATCAGGAAAAGGGCAGCATACCAAAACAGACCCCTTTTAAACAGCAACTAGTATACTTTGCTGGACAAGGGAGAAAAATCAGTGTCCTCCACCCATCCACTCCAGGAAAGGCTTCGGATGAAAACACCCGGGAGCGGCATGTGGTTAATGAGGTAAGACCTCAGGGTAGGATTTCACAACCTGGCGGAATAGCAGGGAGCATCACTTGGTGATGCAACTAAGCAAAACATCTGAGTGCTGGCCACAGCCAGAGTGATGTGGGTTGTAGGGAGGGAGGTGAGGAGGGACTAATGAAGCCCAGATGGAGTGTGCTGGTCTGTTTCCATTCACGGCCAGGCTCATCCTCTACAGGAGGAGAAAGTTGGCATATGATGGGTCACTGTTGTGAGATCTGGGAAATCTGCGTTTGCTGGCTGGTTTTCTGAAGAGTAAAAAGAAAGGAAGGAGGGGAAGAAAAGGGCAGAACAAATGAAAAACTATGTTTTGTTCATCTTTATAACCAGACATCTAGGGAAGTATGGTCGTGTGTGTTCCGTATCCAGATGGAACAGCTGACGCTCAGCGAGATTAAATGACAGCATGGCTAAGAAAAGGTAAAGCCCCTGTCCGGATGAAATTAAACTGATTCCAAAGCCCATTCCTAAACACAGGGACACATCCAAAAAAGGAGGAATCTTCACCATTGTGCTGATACAGCTAACATAGTGACAAACTATGTGACAAAATATGTTTAGTCTCATCAGACCATTCTATGATAAAAGTTAGTGTCCCCTCCTTGGAATATCCTTATTTTATAGCAGTAGACCCTTGAACAGAAAGACAAGTCTCCTTTTCTGTAGGAGAAACTTTAGACACAGAGAAAGGGGATTTTATTCTTGTTGTCTAGAAAATAAAAGAGAACAAGAGCATACATGGTTAGTATGTGTAGTGTGAGGAAAATATGAATATTAACTTTCTAAAAATTATTACAGTAGAAGAAACATTACCATCAATCCCCCTCAAAATACCTTCTCTCACTTCATACACTTATCACATCATGCTTGACATTTTTTAAAATTTTTAATGTAGTTCACGCTGGCCTTGAACTTGAAGCAACACTCCTGCCTCAGCCTCTTAAGTGCTGGGATTACAGGCATGTGTTACCATGTGCAGCTCTTGCCACTTTCTGAAGCAGTTCTGGAAGTTCTCTTTCATGAATATGCTTAGTTGCCTTGTGGGTGCCTCCACGTCCTGAATTGATTAAAAATATTTACCTTTCATGGTCATTTTGACTTTGGGAAAGAGCCGGAAGTTGTATAGTGCTACATCTGGTGAATAAGGTGTGTGGATACACACTGTAATGATTTTATGAGTCTGGCTTTCCGTTAGATGGCTCTAGGCAGCAGCATTTACTTTTTGTTTGTTTGTTTTTGTTTTTTGTTTTAATTACGCTTCCTAAAGACATTCACAAAAGAGGACTTCCAGAACTGCTTCAATAAAGCTTCAAGAACTACACTCTGGAGGCTGAGGAAGGAGGATCACAAGGCCAGGTTGAACTACATGGCAAGACCCTGTCTCAGGTAGGGTGCGGTGGCGCACCCCTAGAATTACAGCACTAGGGTGGCTGAGATAGGAGGATTGCTGTGAGTTCAAGGTTAGCTGGGGCTACAGAATGAATTCAAGGCCAACCTGAACTGCATAGAGAAACCTTGTCTCAAGAAGATTAAAAGAAAAAAGACCCTGTCTCAAAACAAAAAACAAACAAACAAACCAAAAAGAAAAAAGAAAATATTAAGAACCGAGAACAGTGGGACATATTTGAAGTGAGCAGAAGTGTTTTGAGGGAGATTAAAAGCAGTATGTCTTGATTGTAATGTTTTTTTAAATTTTAAATACTCCTGTATATTTTGATCACTCCTGCTAGGTGAAAGGGTTCTATACGATTGAGCAGTGCTGCTGCCCTGGAGAGAGGACTGGCCTAATGGTAATGCAGGCAGGTTTGGGTAAGAGGAAGCTAATGGGGCTTCATGGAAATAATGAGGGCCACAGAGTCTCCCTAAGAAGAGAAATTAGGCTGCTAACGGCTACATCCAAAGGGAATGGAAAGCTTAGGAATGTTCCAGGAAGTTGAGTATGTCAATAAGCCCATTGTCTGATCAAGGTCCAGCAGGGAGGGTACAGGAGGTAAAGCCGTGCCGCTCAGCTGCTTATATTCCAAGTCGGATCTTAGGGGGAAGCCCAGGACACAGACTGGGAACGAGCCCCTAGAAGGGACTGGCAAGGACTGGGACTGTTTGAGAGCCTTAGTCACTGCAAATGGGGAACTAGCTAGATGGACAGGACAAATGGCAGTAGGTAAGTATGCTTATTCTACATAGGAATCTTTCTAGAAAATACAGAAAAAGCCATATTTAATAAGTATTTTAAGGGTGAACTACGGCATGACTTTGACCTAGGAATTTTTCCAAAATGCACTGTGAGGGTTTAGATTTGGCTTCGGGGAAAGCTGAAGTCAATGCTTCCTTCAATGTCATTTGGACCATTTCCTGGCCTTGTGCTAGATGGATTGTCATGTAACAGCATAGACTACTCTCTCATTCATCTGGGTGACATCAGTCATATGACAAGGCATGCCTCTCAGATTATTTTCAGTATCTAGAGAGTCACTAGCTGTAGTATGGAGTGAAGCTTGTCTTGGGTTCTATATTCATTGAGCTTCTATCCGTCAAAGTACAAAGGTGTACTTATTATGCAAGAATTTTTTTTTGGTACCGGGAATCAAACTCAGGACCTTGTGCTTACCAGGCAGGCACTTATGCCGCTGAGCTATATCCCCGGCCCTATGCAAGAACTTTAAATGAGTGAAATATATTATGTATCCTGTTTAATATCATTATTTAAATTTTTGTAAACACTTATGGACACAAAAGAACATAATGATCTTTCTAAAGTTAAAATTATTTAAATTTTCATAAACATTCATTGACTCAAAGAACATAATGGTCTTTATAAAGTTACCTAGCTAATGTACTCCCTTTTAATATTTTTGTTAACTTTCAACCTATTTTCATATGTATTTTGCCTTTTAGAAGTTCTTAATAATTATCTTTGTACTTAAGTACAGTGTTAAAATTAACTTTCTTTTCCTTTTTCTTTTTTGATGTTTTGAGAAAGGGTCTTGCTCTGCAGTTCAGGCTAGCTTTTAAACTCATTATGTATTGTAGCTCAAACTGATCTTGAACTCGTAGCAATCCTCCTACCTCAGCCTCCCAAGTGCTGGGATTACAGGTGTGCACTACCACTTCTAGGCATTAACTAGCTGACATTTAAAATTAAACTATCACTAGTAAATGTTTTCATAAGATAATACTTTTAAAAATAAAACCTCAGCTTCTTTTCTTGAATTCAGAAGTTCATTGTGTGGTGGTAATATTTAGATTTGACCAAATATTAATCATAACAACTGGCTTTTAGGCATTGAGCTGAAGTGCATTTATGTACTTATTGTACTTCTAAATTCTTTTTTTTTTTTTTTTTGTATTGTCTTTTTGAGACAAGGTCTCACCAAGCAGTTTAGGCGGGTCTTGAACTCACTTTGTAGCCCAAGCTGGCCTTGAATTTGCAAAGATTCTCCTGCCTCAGCCTCCTGAGTGCTGGGATTACAGGCGTGCGCCACCATGCCCAGCTGTACTTCTAAATTCTTTAGAAGGTAAATAATAGATTTGTTATTGTGTCATAACATTTCTTGCTATTCTGTGAACATTAATTATATTTAACATTTATTAGAATTATCGGTTATAATAGAAATCCTGTAACTGATAATTATACCAACTTTTTTGGTTTACAGTGCTATAAGTTAGATTTTCTTTTTCTTTCTTTTTTTCCCCCCTGTGGTTTTAGGAATTGAACAGAGGGTCCTATACGTGTTAGACAAGTACTTTATCACTGAGCTATATCCAAACTCCTTTTAATTTATATTTTGAGACAAGGCCTTGCTAAGTTGCCCAGGCTGGCCTCAGACTTGTGATCTTCCTGTCTCAGCCTCTTGGGTAGCTGGGGTTACAGTTGTGCACCACTATGCTCACTTAGTTTGGATCTTACATGTCCCTACAGGCTTGGTCCCCAGCCTTTGGAAGTCCCCAGCTATTGGGAGATGGTGGAACCATTAGGAAGTTGGGCATATGGGAGGGTGTGGGTCTCTGGGGGATATGTCCTTGGGACTCCAGCAGCTTCCTGTTTTCTCTTTGTTTCCTGGCTGTGGCGGGGTGATGTTTCCTTTGCCCTGCACTCTCCTGATGCTGGTCTACCCTACCAGAGTTCCAAAGCAGCAGTCCATCTAAACATTGACTAAACCTCCTGAAACCAGGAGCCAGAATAAACCTTTCCTGTGTAAAAGCTGTTTGCATCAGTGTTTTGTCACAATGACAGGAGGCTGAGTAATGCAGCAATGATGTGCCTCTTTTTTATTTTGCTTTTCTTTAGGCACCTGTCATAAGACCTTCTGGCAAGTAATCATAAGATGTGCATAACTCAGAATGTCTGCTGATCTTCAGAAAACATCAGAATGTGGGTCAAAAATTGGACCTGTTCAGGATTGATTACTCTGTAGCTATTCTATCCATCTGTGGGTAAAAAAAAAACTTCCTCAAATTTCCTGTATAAATTCTTCACTTGCAATTATTAGCTAAGCTAATCCTTTAGGCTGCCACCTTCCAGTGAGTTGGCTCTTTGCAATAAAGTTTTTTCTTTACCACTACATTGTCTCTTGACTAATTGGCTTCCATCATGTGGCAAGCAGGTTGAGCCTTTGTCATGGTAACAATTCTGTAAACTAAATTAATGTCTGTCAGAGAACAAAATTATAATACCTTAAAATCGTGACTGAGCTGGGTATGTGTCTTGGTTACTCTTCTCTCATTGCTGAGACAAAATACCCAACACCTAAAATTAAGGAAGGAAAGGTTTATTTAGCTCACAGTTTGTGGAGGTTGCAGTCAGTAATCAGCTGGCTCCAAGGCAGGGTGGCAGGGCACAGGGGCAACACTTTAAGGTGGCAGAAGACTGCAAAAGCAACAAAAGCAAAAAAGGATGGGGGAAAACAAGCCTCTTTTTCCTCCCTTGTATTGTAACCAGGCCTCCCCCCGCCAGGGGTGTAGCACTCACACCATCTCCATGCCCTCCTCTGGCACAGGCTCAGGATGCTTACAAAGTGAGGACCCTGGGCTCCTGCTGAGTCACTTAAACTTTTAAACTTCTCAAGTTGACACAGTGTATCAACCATTATAGCATGGCAGCTCACATCAGTAATCCCAGCATTTGGGAAGCTGAGGCAGGAGGATTGGTGTGAGTTTGAGGCTAGCCTGAGCTACATAGCACGACCCTATCTTGATAACTGAAAGAACTGAGATACAGATTTAGTGCAGAGACCCTGGATTGAATTCCCTGTACCACCAAAAAAAAGTTCATTTTTTAATTCTACAATCAGAGACTATTCCATTCCATGAAATAGAATAAGTGTTTCATGGCCAAACAAAGGAGATTGGTTTTGTAAACAGAAAGATTGAAGAAAGCAGAAACAAAAAGTCAGTTGGTTATTTCAAAGTTGCTTTCCTTGAAATGCAGAGACAAAGAGAAAAATCAATAGAAATACCGGGAATAGAATTGATTGGTTAACATCAGTTTACTTCAGGTTAATTTTTTTGAGACAGTCCAGGCTGGTGGCAGGTTAATGTGTGTGTGTGTGTGTGTGTGTGTGTGTGTGTGTGTGTAAGAATTAAGGCAGAGGGAACTTTATTATTGCATCTATTGAAATTGACTTTTGCGGGGAATTTGGCTATTATCTCTTTAATCCTGATTTTTTTTGAAGTTTAGATAAATAGATTAGTCTTAGCTCAATAAGTAAAATATTAGCATGAGTGACTCCATGTTGATATTTAGCCTGCTCTGTTGGGGCCCAGACTAGGAATGTAGTCCAAAGAAATGGTGCTGTAACTTTTATTTTATATATCCTTAGTGTGAAAACACTTATAATTCTGATTTAGCATGATTTTACCCAATTTCTTAAAATACAGCCCTTGGAGGATATGATGGTGCATGCCTAGCTCTTGTGAGTCTGAGGTAGGAGGATAACAAGTTCAAGGCCAGCCTGGGCTACCTAAAAAGACCCTGTCTCAAAAATAAAGAAAAAAAATTATCCAAAAATAAAAAAAATCAAAACAACAACAACAATCTGAGTCTTGCTTGTTAGGCCACAGCCTTCTGCACATTTACTTTAAAAAGTGCTTAAAATGTGTATCTTTTGCGGCTTAGAAGCATCTCTCAGACTTGAGAGCCACTCCTGGGAACATAACTGTCAGAAGAGTAAGACCTCCTTCTCTAAGACTCTAAGAGAAGACAGAATCCTAACTTTGGTAATTACTAGCCAAAAAGCACGGCTGGCGTAGTCTCCTTTTCACTAACTGACCCTTTCATTGTCAACTGGAGAAATATTATTACTTCTTTGACTCTGAGCTGCCATACTCCTCCTAGTTACTTACTTTTAGTTGATTTTAAAAGTAACTAAGTTGGAGGTCACATAGCTGAGCAATATTTTATTGGTCTCTCATTACTTTGATGTAGATAACACCTCTGATGTATGGGCTATGATGATAAGAGTTTCCTAGGCTGCTTTTCAGAGACCTGAGGGCAGTTTTTGTCAAAACCATTGACTCTTCACTTGGCCCTACACAGATGTCCAGTGAGTAACTTTTATTTTTTATTTTTATTTTTTTTGAGACAGGGTTTCACTATGCAGTTCAGGCTGGCCACAAACTCACTTTGTAGCCCAGGCTGGCCTGGAACTTGCAGCGATCCTTCTGCCTCAGCCTCCTGAGTGTTGGGATTACAGGTGTGCGCTACCATGGGAGTGACTTTTAACATCAGGAGGCTGTGAACTCTTTAGATTATGCTAATGTATTCTCAGGAAATTTCTGGGTATGTGTCTCATGAAGAACCATGAGAATGGATTCTGCATATACAGACAGCGATGAGCTGTAATGGAGCTATGAGTGAAGCCAGCAGGTTGAGAATCTTTACAAGCAGCTCCTGAGAGTGTGATGCTTGAAGCTATAAGTGAAGCCAAAACCGTAATGGAGGCCTCAGAAAGTTAGATGTGGAATATTTGCTGAGGAAAGCTGCAGATAGCTGGCAGACCCATCTTGAGAGAGGCCACCTGGGCTACAACCAGCAAGGCCATAAGAACAGGGCTGTCAAAGCCCTTTGGAGCTCACATCACACTACCATGTGCCCTGGATGCCAGACATGGAGCTGTGGGATTACAAAGTTTGGTCAACATTACAGTGAATTTTAAAATTTTAACAAGTTTATCACAGTAAGAGGCACAATGCAATTAATCCCTCTCAAAAAACTTCCCCTTGCTTCAAACATACTTAGTCATCATTCTTGATATTTTCTGAAGAAGTTCTCAGAATCTTCTTTTGTGTCTTTACAGGGTATGATAAAAATCAAAACAACACAATGAATGCTGCTTCTAAGAGTTGTCCACTAGAGGGCAGGCTCGATAAAACGTTATGGTATGTTTTCATCCACCTGCTCATCAGAGCTGGCACTGTGTGACTTCTGGCTCTTCCCCAAGTCAGAATGATCATGAAAGGTTAATATTTTGAATTGATTCAGGACACTGAGGCAGCTATGACAAAGGAACTGTCTTAGTTACTTTCTTATTCCTGGGTCAAAATACCCAACATCCACAAGTTAAAGGAGCGGGGCTGGGGATTTAGCTCAGTGGCACAGCGCCTGCCTGGCAAGTGCAAGGTCGTGAGTTCAACTCCTGGTACCGGAAAAAACCAAAAAAAAAAAAACAACAAACAAACAAAAAACACAAGTTAAAGGAGGGAAGACTTATTTTAGCACACATTTTATAGAAATTTTAGTTTATAGTCAGCTGTTTCCAAGACAGAGTGGCACTGCAGAGGGGCACTGCTGACAACATTCTATTGCTGCTTCTCCAGCCAGCATCTTTAAAGCTTTCCAAACTCCTCCCAAAGGCCATTTCAAAGGTTTCTCAACCTTCTAAGAATGGTCAGGAAGTGTCAGAGCAGGGACCCCACTACTGTCAGTATCAAAACCTGTATCAGTCAGCGCTCATTAGAGAAAAAGATTTAGTAAAAATAGATAGATACATAAAGATTTATGAGGTAGGCTTAGAATGGCTGCCTGTAGAGTCAGGTGTGAAAGAGTGCAGAAGGGCTGTCTGCTTGCTGGAGAGCCAAAGGAGCCAGTAAAAGATCAAAGGTCTGGAGCTCACTGTAGAGTCCCATGCTAGTTGGTACCAGCAAGTCTGTGATGGAAGGCCGATGGGAGTCTTTGATGGGAGGTTGAATGGTCTGTTTTGGAAGCCGAGACTGATGTCTCAGGTGAAGGTGAAGAATTTCCTCTGAACAAACAGCAGTGTGATTTCCTTTTTGCCCCTTTTTACTCCATTCAGGCTGCAGTCCTATGCTGGTTGGTGCTGCGCATACCCAGTGTAAGGCCCCACTATCCACACCCAGAACTATGCTAAGCTGGGCAGTGGACTAGCCCAGACTATCCCACACCACCATCCAGCCACCTCCCAAAGAGCCTGCCTTGAGTGTGTGAGGCTTTGGGGGAAACAGCTAGATATATACAGAACAGCAATAAAGGCACTCAGGAAACAGAACTTCCAGGACTGCTTCAGAAAGTGGCAAGAATGATGGGATAAGTGTGTTCAAAGCAAGGGGACATATTTTTGGGGGATTGATGACAACATGTCTTCTACTGTAATAAAACTTTAAAAATTAAAAAAAGTTACTGTATTTTTTCACTTAGTAGGTACTGGGTTTTTGGTTTTTGTAAGGATCCACTGGGTTCTTGCTGTACTCCAGGAAGGAATGGCAGCTAGAATGAGTTAAAAATAGACAACAGACAAAAAACTGGGATCAGGTGGAGGTCCTCTCTCTCCTCAGTGGAGAAGGGGAACTGTCCAAGAACAGTAGAGCATTTACTTTATACCCTCGAGAGGTTAATTTTAGCTTCTCTTCCCAGCAACAAGTTGCAGTGGCTTGTTTACTTGTTCCAAGGAGCTCCCGTGCTCTCGGGCTGGCTTCGTCCTGCTCCAGTAATTAGTTTCCAGCTTCAGTCGCTCCCAACAGGTCGTGCTGAGATTTTGGTCTTGCTTTGGTTCAACTCTCTCCACAGACTATGGTGGGAAGAATCTTCAGTGGGCCAACAGAAACTTGAGGAAGTTGGGTCTTTACTGAGGCTGAACAGCAATTTTAATCTAAAGGACAAATGGCCCAAGGTCAGAACAGTGGGGGCAGTGTCCAGCTTTAGTTCCAAAATTACGGATCTGAGATATATGCAGCAGGTAAGATATGAAGTCAGTCAGGCACTGAGGGGACAGGAGTAAATAAAATTCCATCATGGCAGGAGAAGGAAAAAAGTTTCAAAACTTGGGCTACACACTAAAAACACAGGGCTGAGTTCAGCGTTTGGTTGTGAGATCCACTTTGCAGGCACTTAGCCAGACCACAGATTTGGCAGAAATAATACTGGTGGCTGAATGGTAATATCAATGTGTGTTTTTTTATCCTACCGTACACATAATTATTTCTATTTTTTTGGTACTGGGAATCAAATTCATGACCTTGTGCTTGCCAGGCAGGCACTGCACAGAATTATTTTTAAACGAATCAGTAATTTTACTGGGTTCTTCAAGGAAATGCAGCTTAAATTCATTAAAAGCCTCTAAAATTTTGTAAGCTGGAAGGAATATCAGAGTAGACAGATGATACATTTTTAAACTGTTTTCCTTTTTACTGTATTGTGGCCAACCACTTTCCCCAGGACTTGGTTCAACCATTTTTTATTCCCCCATGAGAATTGAGGTTTTGGAAATTTCAGCTTTCAGGATTTCACCATTCAGGATTGTAACTCTGGAAATTACACTTTAGGGAGTTTTTAGGATTTCAACATTTGGGATTATGGCAATCAGGACCATGTCTTTCAGGGTTATGATCAAGACCAGGTACAAGGTGTTTTAAGATTCCGTCCTGGGTAGGATCTGTGACACAAAAGAAAAATAAGAAAAATGAGGAAGAAGAGGAGAGGCGGAGGGAAAGGAGACAAAGGAAGAGGAGGAAGAAGAGGAGAAAGAATATACATACTGAAATAATTTTATTAATGATCAGAATTCATGTTCAAGCATGTGAAATTATACCTTATAGAAAGATCTTTCTACAAGGATCCTGCCTTATAGAAGATAAGCAATAAATTCTTCAGTTATGGAATTCCACATTTTTCAGAATGAAAATGTGCACAGCTAAATCACTACATTTCTCTGTCTAGTTGGTCTAGTCTATCTGTCTGTCTGTCTATCTGTCTATCGTCTATCTATCTGTCACAGAGTCTTGCTATGTAGCTCAGAGTGGCCTTGAACCCATTATGTGGCCCATGCTGGCCTTGAACTGTGGCAATCCTCTGTCTCGGCCTCCTGAGTGCTGGGATGACAGATACATGCCACCGTACCCCAGCTCTAGCCTCCTTCTTGGCTAAGTGTAGCCTTGTACCTAAATTTTCAACAGTAACTGTAAATAGTATTTATTGGTGAATACCACACAAGGGATCCTTAAATGAGAGGCAGGTGTGGGCCAACTTTTTGTCTTTCTCCCATTCTGTAAAGGAGATAAGATGGCTAAAATGGGACATGAGGCAGCTTTTAGGATAGAGGAGCCTGCATTGCTGATGACTTCACAGAACAGTCACCGCAGCCCTGAACTGCTGATCCCATATCTTTTATACTCTTCTGTGTTTGGAATATGAATGCAATCAATAGCTAGTTTAAAGTGACTTCATCTCAACCACTGTGGTTGCCCTCTCCAACCAATACATAGGTCTAGATTGTGATGGGTCTCAGGATAGCTGTGAAATAGACTTAGACATTTATCCAAGGGAAACGCCTACTTATGGTGCCTTGATTTTGCAGAGGTCTCTGAGCTAATTGGAGGAATTTGGGACAAAACCCATTCTACTGTAATCTAATCCCTGAGCCTTTTGGATTTCTTTCAGAGGCCACTGGAAAAAGACATTATTAGGTGTTGTAGAGAAAAATGGCAATAAACTTCTCTTTGGCTCCTGTACTCCTACCACCTTGGTCTCAGTCCTGGATGCTCCGTGACTGCTGGTGCCACTCCCTCTTCCCCTGCTGGAATATTTGTTGCCTGTTGAAAAAGGCATGTCCTAGGGGTCACTTTAAGCCTCAAAGTATCATTAGCTATACAAGCAAAAAGTGCCCCACGAGTGCCTGTCTCCTCAATAGTTACATGGTGTTCTCACTAGGTCAAGCTCTTTCATCAGGCACTGACCCATCACTGAATTGTTATTTCATCCTTCAAATGTCATGCTCCCCTAGTTGCCATAGCTAGCACCCTAAAGAAGGTTTCAAGTACTTCCTGCTGTGATTAATCCAACAACTTCCTAGCTAGCCTGTCTCTCATGATATAGTGCCAGACGGTCTCACCTGTAAAATTACTTTCTGGGTGCCTTCAGCAAACAGGAATCTCAACTTCCCATTACCAACTACATGAAACCCATACATTTTTCTCTGAGTTTAAGGATATCCATAACAAAGGCCTACCCAGACTGTCCTCCTCACCCCAACACATGCTGGGAGTTACATTCTCCTAACAGCTGCACAACACTCTTCCTGGCAGGACCTCTTTCCTGCGCTGGAAGCCTGCTCATCCTTGGGAGGGCTGCAAAGATGATGGAGGAAGATGAAAATCTATTCAGCACTTGCTGCTGCTTTTGATATTATTCAACAAAGACCCAAATCATGTCATTGACTTTCCTAGCTTTTATGTAAGGAGGATTTGCACAATTCAGGATTGTTTTTTAAATTGTTGAGAAAACGTTTGATACAGCTTAATGGACTATAAGACAACATAGGAGGAATTCTCTGTTGTCCCTTTTTACTCTCCTGCGAATTTGGCTCAGAAAAGTCACTGAGCAATTATAAAAACTTTACTGGCATGGCTTAGTAGTCAGGAAAGTATGAACTTTGGATTCTAATTCTGATTTTCTACTTATTCACTTGTGACCAGTCACACTGTCACCTGGAGCCAGCAATACCAATCACAGGCGTAAAATAAAAGATAAATTTTTATATAAATCACACAGGGCTCCCACTACATGGTAGGCATCTGATAGCATTCTTCTTTTTCTTCCTCTGTATGTGGTATGGGGATTGAACCAAAGGACTTCACAGTGAGCTACATCCCCACCCTTTCCTCTTTTTGAGACAGGGGCTTGCTAAATTGCCTAGGCTGGGATCAAACTTGAGAATCTCCTGCTTCAGCCTCCATGTATGCAGGGATTTGCAGGCATGTACCACCACGCCCGGCTGGATACACTCTTGCTAGGCAGCCAGTGGGTTAAAGTCAGCTTGGCTCCTATCCTGGATGTGGCCAGGAAGAAAACACTAGGCCAGTTTGTGTACTTTCAAACCAAGGTCACTCCGGGCACAGGGTGCGTGAGCTACACACGAAGACGCTGGCCCGATATCCTCCGCTAACACGCGCTCGGCGGCCCTGACTCACAGCCAAGCCTGGTCTCACAGAGCGCCTGCGCCTTCGCTGCGGGGGGCGCGTGCCGCAGCCGCCCCCGGGCAAGGCCTGGACACCGCGCACGCGCCACTGAAGGCCACGCGCGGCCTCCGTCTCCGCGGGCACCGAGGGGCGGAGCGCGGGGGTTCGGGCCGTACCAACGGCACCGGCGGGGGGCAGAGTGCGCTTGGCGACGCGCCACGGCAGTGTGGCGGACGGGCGTCACGGAGAGCTGCGTTTCTCACGTCCGTCGAGGTGAGGGAATGGGGCCGGCACAGGAACCCGGCCCCCCGGCCCCCAGTTTCCCGGCCTGGTTCCACCACCCCCCCGGGTTGGGTGCGGCCATAGGGCGGGGCCCGCCGCAGCAGTACTTGTGCGCGGCGGCGCGGCGCTCGGAGACGCTCGGGAAGCGGACGGCGTGGGGCTAGAAGCCGGAGGGCTGGACCCAGGGCCATGCTGCCTTTCGTGGCGTGCAGGTGAGCGCGGGGCGCTGCGGGGCGGGTCCGGGTCCGGGTGAGGCCGCGGCCGGCGGTTCCCTCTCGGCGGCGCCCGCGGCGTGACCTCCGCTCTGTCTTCCAGCGCTAGCCGGAGGCTGAGTCCGGCCTGGGGAGCCCTGGGGGCCCGGCGGAAGCACAGCCTCCCCGACCTGCCCTACGACTATGGGGCCCTGGAGCCGCACATTAACGCCCAGATCATGCAGCTGCACCACTGCAAGCACCACGCAGCCTACGTGGACAACCTGAACGCCGCGGAGGAGCGATACCGGGAGGCGCTGGCCAAGGGTAGGCGCGCGGCCGGCCCCGAGGGTGCCAGGCGCGGTGACCGGTCCTGTCGTAGCAGAGTCGTATCGATTCGTGTGAATAAACTTCTTTTGTTATCTCAGGAAACTTAGGATCTCGTAGGAGAATTTGTTTACGAATCTGATTTCTGAAGTCTAGTGTTATTACGCATATTGCTAATGTTGGTGAATTGAACAGGCTTCAGGACAGCTTAACACGTACCTGGTCTTCGCACGTTAGCGCTTAGAATTTGCCCCTGTTACATAACGAGCGCTTGGCGATGCGTGCCTGGTCTCTCGGGTGCTTTGCCAGCCGCTCGCCGCAGCGCTGAGAGCGCGGCTAGCTTATGGCCCGGACTCCGCCAGCGCGTGTCCTTGAGCGTCACGGGGAAACTGGGCTTTGCGCTCCGTTCCTGAGCTTGTGCCTGGGCAGAGGTGGGAGAGGAGGGCCTTTTTGGCTCGTTTTCCAAGGGCGCTACAGCATTGACTAGCAGACGAGAAGCTGCCCTCAGGTCATTGTCGTCGTCCTTGGGAATGGGTGGAATCTCGCCAGCAATAGAAGAGATTCTATTCCGGGAGACTCCTTTCTGTCTTGAGCTGCCCCCGCAAGTGAATTGCTGTATGTGGGAGAGACAGGTGTTAGCATTATGATGTTCTTTACCAAAAAGTACTTACCTGCCTTGCAGTAGGTTTGCTCTCGTTTAATTTAAGGGTCAAAGTTTATAAGAAAAATAGCCATTTTTGTAGAAATTGAATATTTGTATTTCACTTAGAATATGGAGTTAACTTTTTAAAAAAATTACTCTTTTGACAACACCAGTAGCACGTGAACTTTTTGTGGTCGTACCTCTGGGGGTATATATGGGGAAACAAACGGTTTTACTGCCTATACACAGTAGGATGTTCTTTAAATACATTAGTTAGGCCTGGTGTAGTGCTCATACCTGTAATCCCAGCATGAGGGAGCCTGAGGTAGGAGGATCCCTGTGAGTTGAAGGCCAGCCTGGGCTACCTGATGGGTTTAAGGCCAGCCTAAATTGCATAGTGAGAGCTTGTCTCAAAAAACAAACAAACAAACCAAAAAACCAAAAAAACAACATTAGTTAGTTTGCACAGGGAAAATATTTTATAGCCGTATTTCCAGACTCTATGTTGTTTGCTAAGCTAAGAAAATGTATTCTTTCTTAACTGTTTTTATTGAATTTCAGGCCTGTGAAATTTGTAGAGCAGTTTTTATCTTTTTTTTTTTTTTTTGACATAGGGTTTTGATATGCAGCTCAGGTTAGCCTTGAGCTCACTTTGAGAGCTTGTCTCAAAAAACAAACAAACCACTTTGGAGCCCAGGCTGGTCTCGAACTCGCAACGATCCTCCTGCCTCAGCCTCCCCAGTGCTGCGATTACAGGCCTGCACCACCATGCCCAGCTTTGTAGAGTAATTTTTAGACAGCGACTTCTGGTTGACTAGTTAACTAGAGGCATGTAGTGGGAAAACGTAGTATTTCAGCTTGTGTTTGAGGTAAATACCTCAGCAAAAAGAGGAGGAAGTTAGCTCATTCTGGAAGACTTACTTGCAGGAATTAGATGAACCTTGAGTATAGGAAGAGGCTCAAGATTTAGGAAATAACAAATGTGTGGAGGATGTGTGTCTTACTTACTTTTCTCTCATTGCTGAGACAAAATACCCACTGCTCAAAGTTAAGGGAGGAAAAGTTTATTTACCTCACAGTAGGTAGAGGTTTCAGTCCATAACCCACTGGCTCCAAGGCGGGTGGCACATGGCACAGGGCCAATTTTTCATGGCCTGGAAGACAGTAAAACAACAAGAGACCATAACAGTGTCTTTCTGCCCCTTTTATACTCTAATAAAACTACTGAAATTAGGGCGGTGCCAAACCATTCAGTAGACTGATTTAGTAATCACACAACCTTAATTCCAGCATCCCACTTCAGATTCAGCCACCTCTGAAAAAGCCCCATCTAAGACTGAATGAGGCTTTGAGAGGATGTCTAGTCACAAATTATAACAATATGATAATACTGAAGCTGGGAAATATCCCAGTTGTGAAAGTATTTCCTTCAAGCAACACCTGACATCTTCAATATTTAAAAAAAGTCGTAAATTTCAGCCCCCCCCTTTTTAAAAATCTTTTTGAGACAGGGTTTCACTATGGAGTTCAGGCTGCCTTCAACTTTCTTTGCATCCCAGGCTGTCTTCGAACTCACAGTGTTCCTCCTGCCTCAGCCTCCTGAGTGCTGGGATTACAGGTGTGCGCCACCATGCCTGGACTGCCCCTTTGTGAAATCAAAATTTTACTTGTTCAATGACAGTCACTGAAAAAAATAGCTTCAAGTTATGTTGAAGTACTACACTGACAATAAATTAATAACGACAACTTTCTTTTCCTTAAAAATTATATTTTTGAAATTAAGAGTTAAGTTTTCACAATTGAAAACTTTGAAATAAACAGTATAAAATAGCATAATTTCATCACATATAACCAATGTAAATACTCTTTCAACCAAAAGTTTTTAACTTATATTTTATTGTAATTGAAGAAAAAAACCTGAATTGAAACCAAAGGAAAAAAAAAAAAGAAACCAAAGAAAATATTGAACTCTAGAAAATTGTTAAGACCGTGGTTCTTACAAAAAATTTAAAGTAGTTAAGCAAACTTTAAGATGTTGAGATTACTAAATTCTTTCTCAATAAACATGTTTCTTTCTCATTCAGGAAATAGAGTTTTGATTTACTTGAAGCAACGTGAAACCTACATTTATAGTTTTAAAGTGACTCCAGAAAAAATTAATAAGAGAAACACTGATCTGTAACAAAATTATCCTGTAGATACATTAAAGGGAAAAAAAGTTGGAATCTCAAAGAAAACCTAAGGGATTATCCATGTACTTGTATCACTTGGTCTTCTACCCTCTGAATTGCTAAACAACTAGAGATTTGGTCCTATTTTAGAAAGTAACATTTGGAAGCTGAGAACTTTTTCCAGAATTGCAGTTCTTGGGCCGGGGATATAGCTCAGTGGCACAAGTGTCTGCCAGGCAAGTGCAAGGTCCTGAGTTCGATGCCCGGTACCAAAAAAACAAAACCAAACAAAATCGCAGTTCTTGAAGAGCAGAACTCTCAATGCTTCTGCCCTTCACTGTGCCTCTCTTGGTATGGTGGATCATAAGTACTCAGTATTTATTGAACAAGAGAATTTTTAATTTTCCCAAAACTTCAGTTAGTCTGTGGCTTCTTGAAGGTGCAGAAAAAAAAAATAATTTGAGTACTTGTTTACCAAGAAGTCTCTTTGGTTTCAGTTTACTTTGCTCAGTGTTTTTGAGAATACATTCGGAAAGTTCAAACATGACATTCTTTTTTTAGAACCATAAAGACCATTTTTTAGAAACCATAAAGACCATTTAGTATATTCAGTCATCTAGTGAATCAACAAATACTTACTGAGTGCATTGTATGAGGGAGTGTTGGGCACTGAGACTACAGCAGTGCACAAAAGTCTTTGTCCTCATCGGTGTGTAAAAAACCATAGTCTAGTGGGGACACAGATGGACAAGTGCACAGGCAGGGTGCCAGGGGCTATAGGTTCTGTTGGGAAAGATGGAGTAGAGTTTGGGAGCCGAGAGCTAGTGGGAATTGCTGGGTGTCCTGTCTAAACAAGACACGACAGGTGAGACTGGAAGGAGACGTGAGAATGAGGTGTGAGGCTGGATGGGGAGACTGTTCCTGCAGGGACAGCTTGTTCATAAGTCCCAAGCAGGGAGTGTGCTGAGCATGTCATGTTAGTGCGGGCGTGCCAGTGTGGCTCTGGAATGGTGCAAGGAACCTGGCAGTGTGCCCCTTTTTAACTCAGTGAAGGACTTCTGGATCACTCCCGGTGAGAAGGGACACCCTTTGGGAAGGGGACTGGTACTAATGCAGGTGGGTGATGCTGGCACACTTGCACCCAAAGGTAGCAGTGGAGTTTGGAAGATACGATTGGATTCTGGATGTGCCTTAAAGTTGGAGCTGGCTTTGCTGATGGGTATGGGGATGGATTGTGTGTGGGGTGTGAGGAGAAGTGAGTCAGAGGTAACATCAGTGGTCTGAGGTCAGAGTTGGCATTCACTGTTATGGGGAAAACTGTAGAAGCAGTAAGTTTTTTTTTGGTACCAGGAGTCAAACTCAGGACTTTGCGCTTGCCAGGAAGGTGCTTATGCCACTGAGCTATATCCCCGGCCCAAAGCAGTAAGTTTAGGTTTGAAAATCAGAAGTTCAATTTGAATATGTCGTTTCTTTTTAATTTCACTTTGAAACACTTCCCAGTGAATAATTGTCTTATTTGGAAAGTGAGAGTTGAATGTTTTCTGTGTGGTCTATACTGAGCCATACATTTAAGCATCTATTACTGTATTTTAATGTGCTTTGGTCTTTGATTTGTTGAAATATTTTATATTTAAGAGAACCCTGAACATCAGAAGTGAATTTTTTCTTAACTTTAACCACCCCTACTGATCTCCTCACCAGTTATATACCACACCATTAATTGAACTAAAAATCTGGAACAAGTTTTTGGGAGGGCCCTTTTTGGGGGGGCTGTAGGATATGAAATTGCTGAATTTTAGGAAAAACAGGAATTTTTTTTTTCCCCCGGTACCGGGGATCGAACTCACAACCTTGCGCTTGCTGGGCAGGTACTGTGCCACTGAGCTAAATCCCCAGCCCCGAAAAACAGGAATATTATACATAAGCTGGTATAATTGTCTAATGTCTTACAAAAGAAAAGAAAAAAACAGTGTATAGAGTAGTCAGAGTTAAGTTTTTTTTTTTTCAGTCAAAGACTTGCTATGAAGTTTTGGCTGGCCTTCAACTCAGTCTGTAGCCTATGCTGGCCTCAAACTCACAGCAGTCCTCCTGTCTCAGCATCCTGAGTGCTGGAATTATATGGGTATGCCACCATGCCTGGCTAAGAGTAAGAATTTTTAAAAGTATGTTTGCATTTTAATATTTCAGGAGATGTTACGACTCAGGTAGCACTTCAACCTGCACTGAGGTTCAATGGTGGAGGTCATATCAATCACAGCATTTTCTGGACAAATCTGAGCCCTAATGGTGGTGGAGAACCCAAAGGTTAGTATATGTCAGTACAAATTTATGTAAATGTTGTGCACAGTAGGAATGACTGTTGATTTTTTTACTTTTCATTGCTTTTTGAGGGGTTGCTAGAGCAAATCTAGGGTCTCTTGTATGTCAAGCATTCCCTGTACTACTGAGTTATACCCCAGCAGATGAGGTATCAGTGGAATGTTTTTCATAGCAAGACATCTAACAGTTGTAACTTTCAAAGGGAAAGAGTAGAAATGGAGAATGCATTCAGGGACTTATGTCATTAGGTTTATGCACACATACAGAACCATCTTATGGTTTAAATATTAAGGAAGCACTGACCAACCTAGTTTTCAGAAAAGATGAACTTTATATTTACTAGCCTCAGGACCTCTGGGATAAACACTTAACCATCTCTGTACTGGACTTGTTTTATGTATAGGATACAGGATTAATAATGGGGCCGTTTTCAGGATTGCGGGTAAAAGGCATAGACTGGTGCCTTGGATATTCTTTTTCCTGACTAAAAGTCACTGGTTGCATGCCTGTAATCGTAGCACTGGGAAGACTGAGGCAGGAGGATGGTGAATTTGAGGCCAGCCTGGGCTACATGGTAAGTTCCAGGCCAGATAGAATCACCCGCTCCAGAAAATTAGGTTTCCAGATCTTTTTTAAAAAATGCAGATAATGCACTTTTTAAAATGAGGGGTGTATAGAACCATATGGTGTGGTTCATTGTCTTTGTTTTGTCTTTATTCCAGGGATGATGTGAGACATGACAACTCTTCTGTTTCTGGGCTTCTTGCACATAACCTAAGTTTCTGTGGTTTTATTGTTCATTTTTATTTTATTTTTTTATTTTAAAGAGAGTAGTAAATGAGACACAAACAAACAAAAAATAAAACAATAGCAGCATACCAGTATCACAAACATAAACAAACCAAAGCAAGAACATTTAAAGTGATATAGGGTTTCAAGACAAAATAATATGAATTAACAGTGGTGGTTATATTACATACCGCTATCCTCAACGTTGTTGCTCAGATTACCAGAAGTAAGGATGGGAGATTATTCAAACTATTAAAGAGAATAACAAAATAATTATTAGATAAAACATTAGAGATAATACAGAGTTTCACTAGACAAGATGGTTGATCATCATGGTAATTCCATTGCATATTGTTACCTTCAAATCAGCTGCCCAGATTGATTACCAGACACAAGCATGCAAAATTGATCAGAACATAAAAAATTTTAACCATTAATTGTTCCTTTCAATATACCATCAGACATCAGCAATACAGTTATTGTAGCTATTCATATATATATTTATATTTTGCTTGCCTTCTTTCTTTTTCTTTCCCTCATCCCGGTCATCCCTTCCTTTGAGCAGTTTCTTTCCCTTTTCTATCATCTGTTGTATGTTTTGAGTTTTACTTATTCTTTCAGGTTCCTACACCAAGGAGACAATATGATGTTTACACATGTGGGTCTGATTTATTTCACTTATGAGTATGGTCTCTAGTTGCATACATTTACCTACAAAAGCCTTGAGTTTATCTTTTTTTTTTTTTTTATAGCTGAGTAATACTCCATTGTATAAAAAT